TTCTTCTAAAATCACTATTCAAAACATTTCCTTTTTTTTTTTTTTTTTTCAAATAATGGCCATCAAATAGGGGCTTAGCTATTTTTCCTCCTTTTTTTGTTGACTTCCGCTCACCCAATTCTAGTTCCACATGTCGATGATCATTTCATGCATCCACTCCTCGATTCTTCAACCACTTCCCTCGTCACAACCTTCTTCTTTTCAAATTCATACAAATTTAATAACAAAAAATTAATAAAAACAAGAGTACAATGACTAACAAATTGATACGTAGTAGTCATAGGATGAGTGTAAATATTAAACTTATCATGAGGTAATGGGTTTAATGTTTACTATGTCCTAATTAAGGTAACAGGGTATGAAACTAAACTGAAATTTACATTAAAGAAATCCAAATTTCTATTCCGTCATGTGTAGATTTTCAAGACTTAATTATACACAATTTTAGACGAGAGCATTAAGCCTACTTCAGCGCAACTATCCAATCCAATTTATCCTCAGCAAGTCCCATTTGTAAGTTGGTAAGTGAGGAATACAGTTGCTGCGACACCACGCCAACTCCACCGCTTTCATAAGTTACCCTACACACGTGCGTTGTTTTATAGACATGAATGTTAAGGGAATGAATTCGCACGAACCATGCAATAAACGTATTTTACTTTAAAACATATTGAAAAACTCCAAGTTCAGACAATTTACAATACATGCCAACAAAACAAATTATTTATCATAGAAATTACCTTTTACCAAGATAAGTTATGCTGCCAACAGGGGATATAACCACAGCTGTTCCCGTGCAAAAAACTTCATCAGCATCAAGCAGTTCATCCACCGTCACTAATCGTTCCTCGACCTGATTATCAATATATAAAAACACTCACTGCTAATAAAAATTGTTAGAAGTTCATTACTGATAGTAATTACTACCTGGAATCCTTGGCTACGAGCAACGTCAATTATACTCTTCCGGGTAATGCCAGGAAGAATTGTCCCGTTGATTGCAGGAGTAGATATCGCGTGGTCCTGAAAATTAGTGAACTGATCGGTGAAGACGAACAAGTACATCTTAGATTAATAAATGGAAAAGAAAATGAAAGATAGCCTTTCAGACTTAAATTTATAAATCCCAAATCGGCAGCGGAGCTAGGATTTTCTCATTCGGGATGGAAATATGTTCGTCGGACAAACTACTTACGTGTGTATATTTATAAAAGAAAAAAAATTCCAAAATTTTTGCAGGGAAATATCCGTCTGCCGCTGTCTGAAATAAACGACGCTCCATTTCAAACTTCCGAAACAAATAAGCAAATTACTAGTATATAACCATATAGCCATGGTAACCTCCTAAACA